AATGGCTGGGAATGTGGCCAGCATTTGCCTGCTCCCACCCTGGTTCCTTAGCTATTGATGTCTGTCTGTCAATGTGACTCTTTACGCTTGGCTTGTAACTCGGTACCACTTGGTTTTGATGCTCGTGTGGTCCTGGTGTGGCTACTTGGAGCCTTTCCATGTGCTCTTGTGTGCTCTGTCTGTCTGTCTGTCTGTCTGTCTGTCTGTCTGTCTGTCTGTCTGTCTCTGACCTTTAACATATCTCTTTCTTACTCTGAGACATACATGCTCCAGACTCATTCATGTATGTCTGGCCCGGGCTGAGAATCAGCCCTTCCGTCCAGGGTTCCTTCCTTGTAATTGACATGGTTTCTCACGATAGCCTGGGCTGGCCTTGAATTGCTAACCTCCTGCCCAGTGCCCTGATTGCTGGGATTACAGGTGTATGCCACCACACCTGGCCGAGCCTGGCTCTTCTCAGAGGCTCTCATTAGAAACCGCCGTCTAGGCTCTGGGCACCCTTGTTGTTCCTGGGACAACGTTGCTTTTGTCAGCAGTACTAACAGATTCACAAGTCTGCACATTCCTGTAAATATTGTATTTGAGCCCATCTGCTCAAGTTTGTCCTGATACCTCTGACTCGAGCGTGGACAACCCCAGCTCTTTTGCTAAGACAGAACCCTCCTGTACGGAGGACCTGGCTCTGGTGAGGTGCTGCTCCTGGTCCCTTTCTTGCCTGGAACCTGCTGCGTGTGGCTTTGAGGAACTCTGCGTCCCTGGGAGACCCTTCTTCTCTGGCTCTGCCTGGCAAGCAGGCGCTGTGAAGGCTTCTGGACTTGTTGGTAGCTGGTCTTCTGGGTCTGATGCTGCTAATCTGCTTCTGATTTCTGTGGGGCGTCATTCAGCTAGGGCCCACTGCAAGGGATTGTGCACGTGTTGTAGTCCCCGGGAAACCCTGTTTTCTTCCTTGCCCTTATTGTGTCTGTCTGAGGAATGGGGTCGGTGGCACAGCGTGAGCTGGGGATGCGAGGACAGTGTGGAGTAGTTATTGGTGCTGGCCCTGTTCCCACAGACCCTGTTAGCTCCGCGTTCCTTGCTCTGACGTCTGCCTGACAGGGTGGGGTTCACGGGAAGTGTCCACCACGTTCTGTGAGAGTAGTGTTACCATTGCCTTTGGGGTGCAGTGTGCATGCGTATGGGGTGAGGTTGGTGCTTTGGAACCATGAGAACAGCTGAGAGGTCTTGAGCGCAGCAGCCATCCTCGCCACACCCACTCCTCAGGGAGACGTGGAGCCCGCCGTCAAAGACTCAGAATCTTGAGAAGGATCAGAAGGGAAAAAACTTACAGCTGAAGAGGAGAAAAGGGATCATTTAAAAGGGTAGCATGTGTGGTGGTGGCGCACACCTTTATAGTCCCAGCACTCGGGAGTCAGAGGCAGGTGGATCTCTGTGAGTTCAAGGCCAGCCTGGTCTACAAGAGCTAGTAGACAGCTTCCAAAGCCACACAGAAACCCTGTCTCAAAAAAAAACAATAAATAAACAAACAAGTAAATAAATAGAAACAAGAGGGTATCATGTGACTGGGTAGAAGGCGAACAGGAGCCTTGGCCACAGGCTGCCGCAAGGCCCATGGGCAGTGAGTGGTAGGCCGGGGTGCTGTCAGGGAGTGTAGCGGCAGGATGGCAGTCTGGCCTCTTCCCTGTGTAGCCTGGGACTCTTTGGCCTCTGGTAAGCTCATGATGACCCTAAACCATCTCCCTCTTACCATTATGAGCAGGTTCTCAGCCATATTGCCAGTTTCACTCACTGGGGAATGTGTTGGCTCCAAGTGGCCCTTTGGCCAGAAGGTGAAAAAGCTTCATGGGGAGAATTGAGAATCGCTATCGCCATGGATAACACGGGTGTTGAGTTTTGTGTCTGCATTTGTAGCACTGGTCAGTAAGAGGTGGGGCTTCCAGGGCTGGCTAGGTGGGCCAGGCCTGGGCAGGTGAGAGGTATTAAGCAGAAGTCCCTTAGTCTTCCTAAGGGTTCACTTCCCCTGCCCCCGCAAACCTTCCCCACAATGCTCTCTGTGGGGGACAGACTGATCTGCTGATCTCTTCCCCTTGGGATGGCTCACTGGAGGACAGCATCATGTAGAATTCTGACCTCACAGATGCAGCCCTTCAGATGTTCTAAGGGTTGTTGGATAAGCTTCTCTTCTAGAGCGGGCAGATTTTTAGCTAGTGGACGTGGAGAGGGGGCATTGTCACTTCTGATCAGGGATGCTGAGAGTCCAGGGGATTCCCGGGGCTACCCCTGTGCTGTGTGGAGATGGGCAGCCGGCCTTTCAGCCTTTCCACTCCACGTTCAAGGACTGTTTACGTTTAGGGGGGGAAGGGGTGGCCCATGAGGCTGTAACCTTGACCCTGGGGTCCCAGTTTTGCATTTGGGACTCAGTGTCCGGTGGCTGAAGTAACTGTGAGTCCCACATTATGTGTTCCCACATTATGTGTTTTCCAGAGAGCTCTACTGCCCTGTCGGGGAGGTGGTGGTGCTGGTGGTCTCTGCTGTTTGTGTCATGTGACTTCACATGCTCTGGACATACTTTGTTCTTTGGCTGTGGCCTAACCCTGCCACACCGCCTAGAGCCCTGCCGCCCTAAACAATCTCCCAGGGTACTTAATGTGTCTTCCTCTGGTTGGGTTACTCAGCTGACTTCTTGTGAGTTGAAGAGTCACCGTGGCGCTATTGGAATATCCTGTAGAGCGCGTCACATCGGTGGATGCGTGGGTGCCAGGAGGAAGAGCGCGCAGTGGGGTGGGGTTGAGTTTAGAGACTGAGGGCACAGAGGGACATACTTGTCCTTATGCTTAGTGAGTGCCATGATGTCAGGGTCACAGTGAGATGCTCTCTCTGATGTGTTTCTAGAGTACAGGTGACCACTACTGGTTTACGGCTTTGAGATGCAAATTTTTATTTATGACAGGTAGAGTTCATGAAGTTATAGGTAGGTAACCAAAGGACTTTAGTGTTCAGTGACAGCATGGGATATAAGTAGTTACAGGATGCTTGTAAAAGCAAATTAAAGAACGTGTCTGGTTACAATCCCACTTGGGCCTTATTTGATGCAACCCACTGGAAGGTCCCTGCAATGTAGCTGTAAACTTACAGCTGCTTCCATTGCTTGAGTGCATGCCCTAATTTCCACCAGTAAAGGCCTTTGCAAGAAACAACTCACCTTCGGGGTTGGCTCTGCTTGTGCATCAAGTCAAGGTAGTCTTGTCCGAGTTTGCACAGGTTAAGGTCACTCCTGAGACCTGCATGCTTTGTTAAGAGAGTCCCCAGGTCTAGCCCTGTTTTTAATTTATTTCGAAAGAGGTCATCTCATACAGCACATGCCCAGACCCTTGCTTGATGCCCAGATCTGTCCTCTGTGGTGTCCCAGGCTGGGCCTCCCTCCTGTCCCCAGGCTGCATTCAGGAGTGCCAGGGGCTGTGCTTGTCCCAGGCCTGTCTCAGGCCCACTTCTGGTTAGGACATCTCCACAGCCTCTCCCAGCAGCTTCCAGGGGACACCTGACCCATCCTTTGCTGCGCTTACTGGCCTTGTACTCTGTGTGTAGAGTGTGGCACAGGTGTGTCTGGACTCCTTGGGGAGTCTGTGACGAATGGTAGCATTCGAAGTCTGCTTACTCTTCATCCCTGTGTAGAAATGGAAACGCCTCATTGAACCAGACAGAAATGCCACACCTCGGCACCTGACAGACCCACATTTCCCTGGGTCGGATAGGTGTCCCCTGCTCTGGGGGATGCCATGCTCTGTGAGTCATGACAGATGTCTCTGTCCCACCTTGGTCCTGTGGTCTGCTAGGCACTGCGACAGGCCAGGGGAAGAGACTTTCAGGGGGCAGTAGTCAGGGCTGACTTGTGGGGTCCGAGCTGAGTTCCTTGTCCATTGTCAGTCTCTGAGAGGTCTTCTGGTTCTGTGGGGTCTTTACTAGAGCTGGTTCAGGGCCATGACCTATGTTCCTGCGATCCTATGTAACCAAACAGGTAGCTTCCCTCTGACCTTCAAAGTAGGTGTAAGTGTCTGCTCTCCCCACAGACTCTCCTCGGCCTGGCAGTAATGGCAGAAGGGGATATTTACAGAACAGGGCCTATTCTTCCTGTGCTACAGGTTACTTTGTGCCTGAATCAATTACTCGGGTTTTATTTTTGTCAACTTACCTCCTCTGAGTCTTTCTAGGGTGTCCCATGTAGTGTTGAAACCAGCCATTTCCTTCTTTCTGTTTTTTTTTTTTTTTTGGTTTTACGAGACAGGGTTTTTCTGTATTGTTTTGGAGGCATCAAACTCACAGAGATCCGCCTGCCTCTGCCTCCCGAGTGCTGGCCTTAAAGGTGTGCGCCACCATCGCCCGGCCAGCCATTTCATTCTTATGTTGTAGGTGTGTTGTTTTTCGTGGGAGTGTCGTAACAGAGTGCCACAGAGTGGGGGTAGTTGTTTATAAAGCAGAAATGTATTTTCTCGAAGTGCTGGAGGCTGGGTCTGCAATACAGATGGGGACAGGGCTGGCTCCTCAGGGACCTATCGCAGACCTGTGTCCTGGTCTCTTATTATCTGTCAGGTTGGATTGGAGCTCACCCTAATGATCTCCTTGTACTTTAATCACCACTTTTAAGAACCTGTCTCTAAATGCAATTACATTCTGAGGTCTTCTAGGCTCAAGGTTTTAACATATAAAATAGGGAGGGAGTAAAATTTAGCCCAGGACACTAGATGTTGCTACCCCTCAATCCCATGACATGCTGTGGCATTGCTCTCTGTTGGGTGGACCAAGGTGTGTTTCTGCCTGCCACGTGTGGCTCCTGCTGTGTTCCTGTAGGTCTGGGAAGTGCTTGAATATCCCTGGGTGGCTACGGGTTTGAATCTGGCTGAGGGGTTGATGGAGAGCCTCCAGGTGGCTTCCCTGGTGGCCCAGGCCCTCCTTCCTGCACCCGACTAGCCGGAACCCTACACTCTGCACTTGTTCTCTCCCTACAGCTGGGTGCCAACGCCCTGCTCTTCGTGGGTGTGAACATGTATGGCGTCTTTGTGCGGATCTTGACGGAGCGCTCACAGAGAAAGGCCTTCCTGCAGGCTCGAAGCTGCATTGAGGACCGTCTGCGGCTGGAGGATGAGAACGAGAAGCAGGTCAGTGTGCTCAGTATGAGGTGGCCCTCTGGCCAGCTCCGCCTCTCTCCCAGCTGTGCTGGATTTCGGTTTGTGTATTATTTAATCAAGAGCAGTTGTGGCTGTGGTGCGCCTGCCTCTCTCATCTTGAGCCTCCATCCACCAACGTTCAGTGACAAGGCTGCGATGCTCAGGATTTTGTGGTGGTATCTGGGGAAGAGAGGAATCTGATGGGCACACAGCCTGGGCTTGCTTCTCTGAAGCTGCTGAGCTGCTTTTAGGTCGTGGATGGCTGTGGGACGGCACGTGGGTGTCTCTCATCTTTCTGATGCACTTGTAGTGGGTTGACCCAGGCTTGGGAGGCTGAGTGAGGTGGGTATGGGCTCACCTCAGCTGAGGTAAACGTGCAGCTCACCCTGACCCTCTGGTATTAGGCCTTTGTCTTCCCTGTCCTGTGAACCCTCCTTTGAGCTCCAGTTCTGCAGATGAAATAGGCCAGAAGGGCACCCCATGTGGCTTGTCACCTATGTGTCCTTCTCTGGTGTAGACAGGAAACTGAGCCTATTGGGTGAGCTGAGCGTGACTCAAGGCAGCCTAAGAGTGAGACTTGGTACTCATGGGTGTCTTTGTTAGAAGAGTCCAGAATCTTCTTTCAGCTTGGGGCTCACAGGCCCTCTGTGTACCTCTTGCTGAAGTCTCATATTGGTTATTTGAGCTATAGTATCCATTTCTTAACCTTTTTTACCTTCCTTATCAATAAGAGATATTATTATACCCACTGTTAATTTTAAAACACTTCTTCCAATGTCTAGACACTGTAATGCAATGCAGTATTGATAGCAAAGTTTGGATCTAATTGAAGAATAAATCACATACGTATTTTTAGACTGTGTGTGTGTGTGCTAATGAGTGTGTGGACCTGTGGTAATTCATGTGTGGATTTGTATACATCTGCATTTGTACCCATGGGTACACATGGCGCTGTGGGAGTGTCTGTATGTGTAGGTGTGTTTGTATGTATATCCATGTATAGGCATGTGTGCATGCATGTGTGCATGCTCATGTACACATTATATGTGTCATATACCATATGTATGAATGTCAGTCAGAGACATTCAGAGGCTTTTGCCTTGGCCTCTAGAGTCATCATACTGGTGTTGATATTTCCATGGTACTTTCTAAGAAATTCTGGAATGTGCTTCTTCTTTTCTTTTGTGTGTGTGTGGGGGGGGTACAGGACCTTGCTATGGAGCCCGAGCTAGCCTTGAACTCTTGACCCTCCAGCCTCAGCCCCCCACCCAAACGCTGGAAGTCGTGCACCACTGCACCTGGCTTGCCCTTGACTTTGTTGCCTTCGCAAGGTCGAGAAGTGAATCTTCAGGAAATCCTCTGTCTCAGAGCCAAAGGTGCCCTGCAGGGCTGGAGCAGCGGGCCCCTCTGTGGGCCACACTTGCGTGCGTTTCTAAAGGAGCCCGTGGTGGAGGCTCACCTGCATCTTCGCTCCGTCTTTCCCTGCTTCCTCTGCTCCTGTCCCGTTTCATTTCTCTCTTCCCTTTGCTGCCTTTTCATTGATCACCTTGCCTGCAGCCTTTTTCCTTTCCTGTTTTTCCTCGTGGCTATGGAGGTAATTTTGTTTTTATTTGTCTATAATTCAGTTTTATTTTGACTAATATGTATTAACCAGATATGCTGATTTAAGTGGTGCAGTGTGACATTTCGGTATGCTCATGCAGGATGGTCAAGTCGGGACAATTAGCACTTCCTTCCTGGCCATGATTCTTACCTCACAGCCCTTGCACTCGTTTCTGCGAGGTTTTCATAGAAGATGCCGTAGGTTGCGATGTAGTCACTCCACTGTGCTGGGAACACCAGAACGTACACCTTTCGCCCTACCGCGGCCTGTTACTCAGCCCTCGTCTGCAACCCACCTCCCCGCCTCTGGCCATCTCCATCGTGTATTTATGTTGTCGTGTTTTAGCTTCTTCTCATGAGAGAGAACATGCAGTATATAGCCTTCCGGTGTTTGGTGCTGGTCTATTCAACAGGACCTGATGCACTCTGCCGCCACTCACTTTGTGGATGGCATGATTGTGTCCTACTCCGTGGCTGAATAATATTCATGGTCCTTGTCCCTCTGGCCTCTGGAGTCACCGCGGCTACTTTCCTTCCTAGCTCTTATGGCTGGTGCTGCTTGAGTGTGTCACCAGGATCAAGGCCATTTGCTGCCCTATGGATAGGGTAGGCAGATGAGGGGAAGTCTAGTCCCTATAGTTTGTGTTCTTAAAAAGGAGGTTTCTATCTAGTAACATCATCAACCTCATTAGCCCGGCTGAATGCCATTCACTTTTAAGGGTTTATCTTTGTGTGCATTATTTAACGGCACAGTTGTAGTTTCTCTTGGATCCCCTCATTTTCTGGGCTGTGGCTTGACATTTTGCACGGGTGTAACCACACATGTTGTGCCCTGAGTGAATAGCTCTTTGTGTATTGCTCCAGCAGTCTCTCCCACTTACAGCTAGATGCTGTGTTTTAGGAAGCTTTTTCTTCAAGTATTCATCTAGACTTAAAGTATTTCCTTGCGTTTTCAGGGGTGTGAACTTGACATTTCCTGGAGTGTTTTCCTCGGTGGAGCACACTTTTGTTTCTTTAAGTAGTGCCCAATTATAGTCCACTCCCGACGCACTCGTACCCTGGGTGTTCCAGGGCCACAGCATCAGCCCCCCTGGGGACCGGATTTGTAGCCCCCACCAACCCTTGGGACCTGCGGCTCACCTTGACTGTGAGAGGGATCCAGGCTTGCACCTTGGCTCTGGTAGGGAGCCTTGGTGGTGGTGGGGTTCTGCGTCACCTGTGGGAAGATCGTTCAGAAGGTCCGACTGGCGGAGCCTCAGGGGAGGAGCACAGGAAAGACAGCAGCCAGCGGGGACCGCAGCATGTACGGAATTTCAAGACTTCCCGAGGAGATCAGGAGGCTGAGCTCTTCCTGCGTGACTGCTCGGGGAGGGTCTTGAGCCACGGCAAGCATGACGACCAGACAGTCAAGGACCCTGATACAAGTGGGAGACATTGGGTAAGGGGGCAGTGTCTAGACAGAAATCACAGAGACGTTAGACCATGCCCCAGCAGCTGCTCAGGGCTGCAGAGGCACAGACAGAAATGACAGAGACGTTAGACCATGCCCAGCACAGTTGCTCAGGGCTGCAGAGGCACAGACAGAAATGACAGAGACGTTACCCCAGCGGCTGCTCAGGGCTGCGATGCCTCTTTCCTCTTCCACTGTCTGCAGTTTGGTTGCCTTGACCCTGTTGTCAGTGCTGTTCCTGTCCAACTTCAGTTATGTCCTACTCTGCCGGCAGCGTGTGCTGCGTCATTTGAAACCTCTCTGTGTCCTGGGTGACGGCACCATGTGAGAATTTGCCATTTGAGACCACTGAGATATTCCGCACTTACTTACAATGTGTTTTGGTGCCAGCCTCGTGAAGTAGGACTGTTAAATGCAGTCACCGGAGACTGTGCCCTTGTTGTGGCAGGGCTGTGCTGGGCTCCAGTTATGCTTCTGCTGGCCCCGCCCAGCTTGACTCCTCACGTTAGTTTAGGGGTGAGGCCTCCATCACCTGGATCAGCAGAATGTATTCCCATCTGCTTTCAAGGAAGTAAGAACATAGTTTATTCTGAGCAAATACAAGTAACCAGGGTCAAGATGGCATTCCATATGGAGTGACATACTCCATCATAGGAGAGCTTACATGCACTTGTATAGCCATAGGACAACAGAGTCCTGGATCAATGAATTCAGCAAATGCAGCTGTGGACTATCAGGTAGATACACAACAGCCAAATAGGGAAGTCTTTCTGTGGGTTTCAGATGTTCCTAGAGCAGTCTTCGCTTTAGGGTTAAAGTGGTACCTTCTAAGAGATTTACCTAACAGTCATGAGCACGTTAGGCCACATACAGAGGTTAAAGGTGATCTGCTGTTTTTCTAAAGAACCTGATAGTCAAGAATAATTTTGGCTGTCATTCTGCAACATTCCAACTCCCCAGACACAATGCTCTTTAGGTCTTTCACAGAGAAGCAGCGTCTTTGGAAAGCTTCAGCCCCACGTGGAAGAATTGCTAGGAGCTATTCCTGTCTTCTTTGAATCCTCTTTGGGGCATGTGCATGCATTCATGTGTGTGTGTGAGGGGGGGAGCATATGTGTGTGTGAGTGTGTATATATGAGTGTGTGCGTGCGTGTGTGTGTGCGTGTGTGTGTGTGCGTGTGTGTGTGCGTGCGTGTGTGTGTGCGTGTGTGTGTGTGTGCATGTGTGTGCGTGTGTGTGTGTGTGTGTGTGTGTGTGTAGTATGCCTGAGGGTTACTCTTTGGGGAGGGTTTTGGATGTAGTAAATGACCTAACTTCCAACTACACAACCAGGGACCAGAAAAAGGGATGTCTTGTCCTGTAGGATCTGCAGAAAGTCTGCTCCACGGTTGTTCATCCCATAGTTAAGACAGGTAGTTAAATCCCTTGAAAATTCAGAGTCAGCTGTAGAATGGCCTCTCCCGCATCAGCCTGTGGCGATGGCTCTGTTTGATTAGCGGGGGGGGGGGGGGGGGGCTGGGAGATTTTAAACAGCTCGGGGATGATAGAGAAAGAAGGGTGCCACAGTGAGGGCCAAACAGGAAGTGCCTCTTCTGCCTCTTATGCCTCTTTCTTATGCCTCTTCCTCGGGAGCTGTGGCCCCTCCCTTCTTTGTGTCACTTTTGGCTTGTTCTCACGTTCACCGAGCTGAGTTGCTCCAAGGCTGGAACAGAGGCGCCAAAGTTCGTTCTTTGAAGTAGAAAAGCTGGAGAGATGGGGCAAGAAGAAAGACACCCGTGAGGGGTGTGAGGCCTGGAAAGGGTAGTTACAACCAAAGCAGAGACTCAGGGCATGCAGGGATCATGTGATGCCTGTGGGAACTCGAAAACTTCAATAGAGCCAGTCAATTCCTAGAAGGGTATCAGTAACCAAAGGAGATCCTAGAAAGAAAGCCAAGACC